AAGAGAACATCGACTGAGCCTTAAAAACCCCACAAAAAGCTTAAACGGGTAGTCTAGAAGCATTTTAAAAAGTCACGTGATATTTGTTTCATCCCTTCTATTTTTTTCTTCCCTCGCCTTTTCGCTTGCTCGCGCGCCCGCAATCCTTGCTGTTACTTTCGTTGGAACGTCATGTAATATTTTCGTTTTGTCAATTTATTCGCCATATTTGAACAATCGTTCGAATCAAAATGTTTCTGAGCGATTTTCTGAGCGTGTATAAGCGCCCTGTTAAAAGCTATTCACTGCAAATACAAGCTCTTATGATTTATACAAGTAAGTGCAATAATTTAAATATACTACGTTATGATGTTGTATTCATATTACGTTTAATTAATGTTTTATTCATATTCATAACACAGCTCTTAGTTGGACCCCCTGTGTCGGGAGCAGACATTAAGTGTATAATATCCTGCTAGTAGAGAGCCAATCAGATTGCAGAATAGCTTATATCCGGTAGCTGTCTAAGGCCCCGATTACACTATACCGGATTGCATCGAAGCGACGCGATTTCTGTACCGGATTGGCCTCTTGTTTACACTACGCCACTGTAATCCGGCACGTGCCGCGGCGCGAAAATCACTTCGCTTTGGAGGTGATATGAAAAGTAATCCGGTACGTGCTGTACCGGATAAAACCAAGTGTAATCAAGCAATCCGGTACGCTCCGGTACTATAAATAGGTTTCGGCAAGTATATTTTAACATTGTCGTTTTATTTACTCGCTTTTAAATATTTTATAGCTGTTGTTTGCTTCGCTTTACAATTATTTATTATTTCTAGCGAAGACAAATAAAGATAGCGGTAATAACATTGACTTCTTGCTTTCAAAAGGGCAAAATTTAATGAAATACTCGTCAATTTTCGATAAGAGCGAGACAAAGCAACGTCGGGTGGTCAAGCTTTGTAAACAAAGTTATAATTCACAAGTACTGTCGAGAAAACGTCCAAAATGGTCAAAACTTATTATTTGTTTCCGTGGCAACGATAAAAGATACGAGCTGGCGACAGAGCGAAGCGGCATAGTGTAAACACCCTTGATTTTGGCTTCGGTGTGAAAATTGATCCGGTATGAAAATCAATCCGGTATAGTGTAATCCCAGCCTAAGTATTATTACCTGAGTAGTTACCAACATTCAAAATGTAAGCGTTGCTTTCATTTCCCACAGAAAATGATTCATAAACTGCATAAGCAGCCTCGTTTTCAAAACTTTCGAGATCAACTCTCAGTACATTCTGCCCACTGGCTGTGAGACGATGAATCTTGTCCAAACCAAGCCAAAATTCACCAGACAAATCGCCAAATCCAATTTTGTAACCATACCACTTTCTGTAGAAGCTTAGAGACCCATCTACACGTCTTTGGAATATAGTCCAGCCCCTCCCTGAAGTACTAGTTGTTTCCATATCACAACGAACAGCAAAAGCTCCAAGGCCGTCCGGGTCGATTGTATTAACCCCTGTGGTTGTTTCCATATCACATCGAACAGCAAAAGGTCCCAGGCCATCCGGGTCGATTGTATAAACCCCGGTCGTTGTCTTGCCGGATTTGTACAAGTCATCACAACTTTTTGCTAAGAAAAAGTGAATTAATAAATCCATGTTTGATAATCTAACCTCAACCTAACCTCAACCTCACTTCAGCCTTAACCTGACCTTAATTAAGGTGGCTCCCTACATTCTATAGAAATGTTGAAAATGCATAAATTAGATCAAGTCTTTGAAGGGATGTTGTTTGCTAGAAAGTCAAAAAATGTACGCCATATGTAAAGCAGCAATCAAACAATTGGAATTTGGTTGCAAAAATGACGTCACTACTGTTGCTATGGCAACAATGACGATTCAAGACGGCCAATATTTTGGCTTTTATCCCACTTTACTTTAAAAAACGTCTGGTTGCCCCCATTTTTATTTCGGAAAACATATTCATGTAGTACAATAAACTATCGGACTAATTATAAAAAATTCTACAGGATTTTTTAAAACTTGGTCAGATAGTTCATTGTACTACAAGAAAATGTTTCTGAAATAAAAATTGGGGGTAGCCAGGCGTTTTTTTTTAAGTAAAGTGCGTTAAAAACCAAAATATCGGCCATCTTGAATCGTCATTGTTGCCATAGCAACAGTGGTAACGTCACTTTTGTGACTAAAGCCAATTCTTTTAGACTGTTCCTTTAAAAAAGTTGTACAATTTGTTATTTCAGACAAGTAACAATCTTTAAAAAGTTTGATTTGAGGACCGGTCATAAAGTAACAGCTAGGTTGGGGCGGTGGGAAAAATAGGTTTTCCAAAAAAAACGGTGGCCCATCCTAGAAAAAATTTCAGAGCCCATAGTTATTAGTAGGTCATTCGAAAAATTTCACGACCCATCCTGCTATACATGAATATGTACAGTATAGTAGTCACTTTGATGAAACCATTTGTTATATTGAATGTTGATTCTTTTAATAGGAATGTTGTGTGGTAGTCATAGTATACGTATTGAGTGCAAACAGGTTATATTTGTTTCATGGCCCATCCAGTCCATCGCTCCTTATTTCCTCCGGCCCGTCCTACCAATAATTACTTGATGACCGGTCCCTTAATTCATGGTTTTCTCCTATTTTTAAATTGTAGGGAGCCACCTTAAACTTAACGATTCCTCTCTTTGTGAAGATAAATTTGATTCAAGTCATTCTACCATAATTTACAGGTTCTTCTACTTGTTCTTGTTCTTCTACTTTTTTTATTTTTTCTATTTTCTGCAATTGAAAAACAAATTTAATTACTTTCGGAAATGTTACGTTATAACAAAAATATAACGCTCTTATATAGCTACTGCACATTTCGTTTTACTTTTAAAAGAATATGAACGTTTATGGCATGCCCAATTGTTATAATACTTGTTGTTCGACGTTCATAGAAAATCTATAAAAATACCTTTTCGGGCTTTTCCAGCGGTTGATAATAATCATAGTTTTTATCAGGCAGCAAATTCTGAGGATGTGTTGTTTTCGTGGCGTTGTTGAGCTGGCAGTTGTTAGAAGGATGTTGATGTTTTCTCGCTTTGTAATTGATTGATTTACAGTGAGAAGGTTTTCTGAGACAGTACAGAGAACATTCCAAGAAATTCAGTGTGTTGTGTTCACTGATTACATGGTCGCATAGACGGTAACCTGCAGAAAATTTAAAGAAAATACTCAGAGATGCAAGTATAAATTCTGCAGAGCATACTTAGGGACCGGTCATAAAGTAAAAGGGGGGGGGGAGGCTGGGAAAATGATACATTTGGTGTCTGCACTTTTGGTAGCCCACCCCTTAATAGCTGCACGAAAATTTGTGGCCCACCCTTAAATTGGTGCTGAAAAATTATGACACACCCTTTCAAAAAGGCGAAAGATACCAGCGTTCTATTTTTCTGTTGCCAAATAATTCTGTGTTACAATTCTCAATAGCTATTCAAATGGTGCAATTAAAATTCACGGTCTCTTTTAAGGATGTGTAACTGGAGGAGACATTTAGCGGGGGACCTGGAGAAGTTACAGTCGGCAAGTTTGTATCACTGCAGCTACCAGCATTATATGCATGGTTTAACTAATAAGTATACGTCATAGGGCAGCAGATCAGGCCGTAACTAGGATTCTGAGACAACCGAGTCGACCACCGAAGGTGCGAGCTTCTAGAGGGGTCTGGGGGCATGCCCCCCAGAAAGTTTTGGATTTCTTGAAGCTCAGACAAGCTATTTCCAGCATTTTGAGGAGTTTTCCAACAAGAAATTAACCTTATAAACAGTAACACAATTACTGCAATTTTACAGTCTCCCAAATGTAATCCAGTCCCAATAAGGCAACATGGTGTGAAGATGCGGTAATTAAAATGTATGTGGTATGGTATTATCATTCACCACACTTCAAATTCTACAGTACTGTATTACATGTATTGGGGTACTTGAAATCGACGCATTAATATTCGTCTTCTCAGTGTCACTGAAGAGCAAGATGGGGTGGTCTCTTTGGAGTATCTTTGCTTGGAAAAACTAAACTAGAATTTTGTCCTAAAATGTTATTTCATGCCTTGTTCCACGAGCAAATTATTTCAGTCATGGTTTAGGTTTCTGGCGATGTTTAAATTTCAGTCCCCAAATTCGGGCCTACCAAGTGAACTGATTCGGTGGACTCAATAGCTAGTTACGGGCCTGCAGATGATGGTCAAATTCAGAAATGTTAACAACTTAACATCGTTTTCTCACTTTGATACATAATTGCTGGTTGACCACCTACTGCAGGTAGTTCTTAGGGACCTCACTGGGGGGGGGGGGCAAAATTTCGACTGGAAGGGCTAGTAGTAGTTAAATCACAATCATCGTTAGCGGTTTGGCGTTAGTCAAACTAAAGGTCTCTGATTATGAGAAAGATGCTGCATAATGCAGTATGCATGGGAAGTTCCATGCAAAGAAAGACCTTTCTGTATTTAATTCAGGGCCTCTTTTAACATATAGACTGGGGGGGGGGGACATGTCCCCCCCCCAGCCCTCTTAGAGATTATACTAATTTTGTTACATAATAAACATCCTACACAAAGCTCGTGACATTTATATGATTATCAGAAAATTAGTTAGCTTTTAAGTTTGAGGTGAACGTTTGCGGTATAAATTTTACACATGGATCCTGATACGTTTTATTTCTATTTTTATAATATGAATTTTAATACACATGCCATTGAAAACATTTCTGCATATTTTTACATGGCCCACCCTTATGATTGCACTTAACTTTCAATGACCCATCCCTTCAACCGTGCTCAACAATATTGACTCACCCTCTATTTTTCCTAGCCCCCCTTTTACTTTATGACCAGTCCCTTACATACACCTCAATCGCGTGTGAGAAGAGTTAATTCTGTTCGACTGAACTAAACATCGCATGATTTTCTTTGTTCCATTAGATAAAGCTGGAACATGATAGGGTTACCCAGTATAAATAAAGTTAGTTTAGTTATGCGTTCTTTAAATAGCAGTCGATGGAAGGTTTATCGACGCATTCCAGCCGCTGCAAAAGCTGTAAAACAGTACTACGCTGTTGGAACCTGAAACCCACAGGATCGATTTGCTCTCTAATAATTTGAGATCAATCCCATGTTTTTGTTTCAGATAGAGTTAAACTTTTTGGTGGCAGTTTTTATAAAACGTTTTCGTTCTTTTCTGTTGTGTAACATTCCCTGATATGAACGAGAAATCTTACTGTAGTGAGACCGACTTTTGGTTTCTTTCCAAATTTTAATTTCATTACAGCACCTACCTGACATGGACAATTTGAACAACGCGCTTGAATGTAAAGAATTACAGGTTTTTGTGTATAGCAGTAACAGATAGAGAAACAGAATACGAGCAGAATTCATGACTGATACTTCCACTTTGTTCCGATCTGCCTGTGAGAAAAAAAATGAAATCTTCCTCAAGATTTTTATTAACATTTTACAACTGGTTGACAAGTAAAACCACCAGGCTGTACGCATGCAAGTAAATTGGCTACTACTGATCCATGCACGTAAAACAAGTTGTAACAAACCTGCAGCAGACTTGCAACAATAAAAACATTAAAGTATTAAAACATTTAAACATTAAAACGTTTTTGGACGAATTTAAATTTTTAAAAAATATACTGTAATTCCAACAACTTGCCAACAGGATGCTGTATTCGCACTGCTTGTTCCCAGTTTGTTGACAAATTGTCAACGGCTTGTCGAGGCAATCGGTTGTGTTCTCAACAGACTTGCCACAAGTTGTTCTAATTATCGTCCGGCAATCGGCCAACAATTTCTCAACAAGTTGTGAGTGACAAGTGACAACCTTGTAGCAACTTGACAGCGCGTTATACTAACAGCGATCTGATAAAAAAACACTCCTTATCTTACGCTTATGATACCATAAATATTATATATTTATACACTCAATATAGGCCCGGATCTTATTCTTTATTGAGGCCCAAAACGCCGTCATCTGAACGATTGGTCGCATAGCGAATAAAATTATTTTAATTCAATGAAATTGAAGGATGAAAAATTTAGGATGTCGACTAGTACAAAACGAAAAAAACTGAATGATCTTAAAATTGGTTCATAACAAGCCAAGCAATAACTTGATTTACTTTTACTATAACTTAAATAATGTATTATACAGTATACTCGTTATAATTATTGGTTCTAATTAGGTGTGGCTGATTGAAAAACTACTATATATTATATAGCTTACCTGTAATAAGTAGAAATTTGACTTCTTGTCAGAGTGGGAAACGAACAGATAACTAAAAGCCCTCAAGAAAGAGCTGCATATTATACTGCTTCGCTTAATTGGTTAATGAACTTTTTTCTTATTACGCATCATAAGTCGTTCACGGTGCGATAATTGGCGTACACTAATGATATTATATTAGCAAGCTTAACATTAACGATTACGTCAGACTGCTAGCCTCAAAGGGGAGGTATCCAATTGCATTTTGAGGTCAAACTGTTAGCCGTTCAAAGTTAGGGCAATTTGTGCATTAAACTGAAGCATAAATTAGCTACTTAGCTGTCGAAACCTTGTGGGACGTACCTTCAAATGGGATTTGATGTTTGCTGCTTGCGTTTAAAGGTCTGTCGTATATATACGTCAATCTTTGGGGCCGGTTTCCACTGTTGCGTCTTTTTGTACGTACGTATTACGTGCGCGAAAATACGTACGTAATTATATTTCTACTTCGGCGTATTTCCGTCAACGTTCTACATACATAACTTTCAAGATGGACACCGGCAGTCTTACAAGTGGAAGTTGTACTACTTCTTTATTTTCGAAATACGTTAAAGCGAATAAACATGTACAAGATGGGATGGCATTGGTATAGTAAATTGAGTGATAAATTGCAAAAACTTCAAAATAGAGCTGCACGTGTTATAACACGTTCTTCCTATGATGCATCATCTAGCTCTGTACTTGAAGAACTTGGATGGAATAATTTATATACTAACCGTAAAATGCAAAAAGCAATTCTCATGTATAAAGTCACGATCAATTTAACACCTATGTATCCACAAGATTTGTTTGTAACTAGAGTTAGTCACTATAGACTCAGAGATTCTGAAGGCAAACTGTTTCTCCCTAAACCTAGAACGGATTATCTTAAGCGCTCCTTTAGTTATAGTGGAGCCAGTTCATTATGGAATAGCTTGCCTGAATCTCTGAGATCATCTTCATCACTTTCATCTTTTAAAAGATCTTTAAAAACTAATAATGCTATTTAACTCTTGTCCGACTCCCACACCGCAACCTGGTAGAACAGTAGCCCCATATTTGTTATATTTATATATATACTATGTAAATCCAAATATCTTTATTAAGTTTAGAATAATTTAGACTATATTTATTATGTAATATTACTGAAGGTTTACCGTGTTTTAAATAAGGCGATGTATGTGTATGTATGTATGTAAGAAGAGATGTTCGTGAAATTATTCGTAGCGGCTATCGGATCACGAATAATTTTTTCGGTATTTTCGAATGACCGGCCATGAAAGATTTGACCATCTTCTTGCCCTTGTGGGGCCTATGTTGAAAAACATTTCTCTTTATAGAGAACGGAGAAGCTATTAGTGCAAGTCAACGTCTTGCTATAACACTACGATTTCTCAGTACCGGAGATTCTGCTCAACGTACGATATCGTTCAGTTTCCGTGTTGGACACGCTGCGCTACTTTATTATTTTATTTTTATACTGATCTGGATCATTGGTCTGCCAAATTGAAGTGTATTTTCGGCTAACTTCTGCGAATCACGATCAATGCAACGTTCCATGCATGAGTATACGATCCCCATTGTTTTTAAAGCCTTTATACTTAAAACTGCTTATAATAATAATAATAATAATAATAATAATAAAATATGGCAGCCAAAAAGCAAGCGAATTTCAAAGTCACATGCTTAAATCCCGCGAGTTCCAATACACGTAAACGCAGCGGGTCGCGGAAAAAGTTGATTGCGTTTCAACTCCGCAATTTTGGCGCGCGCGGGCGGCTTAACGGTAAACGCAACGTTTGGCGCAAGGAAAAAACGCAATTGTGAATAATTGGAAGACGTGCGTATCCGTTGGTATTCCGCGCGTAAATTTTCTAATTACGTACTTTTGCGTGCGTATACGTACGTATGAAAAACGCGATAGTGGAAATCACCTATTGAATTGTTTTGTAATACTCAAATTCTGAAGAGAGAACAACCTATTTTCAAAACTAAGGCTTGTTTAAAGACAATTATCGAACACATTTTCTTTTTGATTATAATTTACTAACGTTCGTTGACAATGAAAATGAATGAAGAAAACGCATATTTATCATAGTATATTATATAGTTTCACAATATTAAAAAAAAAAACTAATTCTCCGCTCGCTTTGGGGCACTTGTGTTAAAATTAAAATAAATTAAATATTTCCCATCGTCAGGTTGTCTAGGCCTAGGGCCGCGTCTTAATTTACACTTTAGTCTTTTAACAGAGGCCGCGGAAGCATTTCGAAAGTGGAGGGGCATTGGCCAAAAGGGGCACTTTTGTATATGATCAAAATCAAACGATTTTATGTCGTTCACGAGCCGAACGAAAATTTTTGAAAATATGGAGTCTCTATAACGTCGGAAATGGCCTTTATACAGAGTCGTTACTACTGCAAAAAGGGCACTTTCTTTCCAGCAAAATAGGGCGTTCATACAAGAAATACTTTTTTCGTTGTGTAAATGGGGCACTTTAGCCCAGAAAAAAGGGCACTTATTTCACTTTTAAAAAAAGTGGAGGGGCACATGCCCCCATTGCCTCCCCCCCCCCCCC